TATCATATTACTTAGACCCAATATATATAATACAACCATACAAATATTTACATTTGTCCCTTAAGAAAACCCTCTCATGGCCTTAGTGCATGCCCTAGTGGATTACGTAATAAAGCAGCTACGTGGAACCCACCCAAAGTTTGCATGAATTGTGTACACCACCTCATGCAAATATATTACTCCTTAATCTCCTTACATATATATATATATATATATATATATATATATATATATATATATAGACAAAAATACCCTTCTTTTTTCTTAGTCCAAATTTAATCTTCTCATTTCCATGTAATTAAGTATATTTTAGTAAGAGTATTTTGGACAAATCCATCCTATTTTGAACAAGTCTACCCTATATCCTAAAAAATGAGGGAACAGAAAAATTAAATATAGATAGAATTAAAAATACCCTTTTTTTTTCTTCGTCCAAATTTAATCTTCTCATTTCCATGTAATTAAGTATATTTTAGTAAGAGTATTTTGGACAAATCTATCCTATTTTGAACAAATCTACCCTATATCCTAAAAAATGAGGGAACAGAAAAATTAAATATTGATAGAGCCAGTAAAAATAATAGTCGAGATGTAATTTAACTGGTCAACATACTAGTGTTGCAGGGGTAAATTTGGTTTCAACCCATTCCTAGACTCCTGGTCAAAAGGATAGTGACGTGTTTTTGTTAAAATTCCGGTGGCGCGAAGAACAACGGGTAGAATATCAAGTAAAATTAGTCACTTGTATATAAAGTCGAGACTCATTTTCTAACCCAAAATCTTAAGCTGATGAGTAAAGTTTCACCTTTTTATATATGCTAGTTGTATTTCATTACTTTTTTCGATGTCGGAATTCCAACATCTCCCCTCGACTGGTAACTAGTCTCGCACTCTGGCATAGTTAGCACTTGGATATAACTAGTCCACAATGGGGGGGGGCATCTCAATCTCTTATAACTAGTCCACAATGGGCGGGGGCATCTCAATATTTTATAGCCAACTCAACCCAAACCATGGACATATAACGTATATCGCTAATCCCATGTCCAAATAACAAAAAAGAATCGAACCTGGACAGGACCTACTCCAATACCATGTTAAAATTTTAATAAGCAGAGAAAATAACGTGTAGAATACCATGTAAATTTAACTATTTGCATATAAAGTCGATATCCACTTTCTAACCCAAAAACTTAAACAGCTGATAGATATTGTACGTCTTACTTGTTAGCACGTATTTGTATTTAGTTTGTATTGGGCCCACTTTGTAACCTAGCCCGTTATGTATTCTTGTATATATACGACTTCTATTGATTAATGAAAGCAGATTAGTTTTTACCAATTTCTACTTGGTATTAGAGCCCAACCCTGGGCACGATACGTCTGATTCTCTGGTGTTGCTCCCGATCGAGTAACCCACGCCAGTCACCTCTTCCGTTGGCGTTCGCTGTGTGTTCGGCAGCATTGGACGGTTCTTTGACAGAAGCTGCACGGCGACCAAGAGTGTCTTGGTTTGGTCATTTTGTGTCAAGCTCTGAAGATCGGCAATGATGTCTACCACGAAGAAAACTCGTTTGATTCATGATCCCTCGTCTGAGTATTATCTTCATCCTTTTGAGGGCCCAGGTAATGGTCTCACGAAACATGTCTTGAAACGCGATAATTTGATACGTGGGAAAAGACTATTGTTAATGCTTTGAAGGGTCGTAGCAAAGCAGGGTTCTTGTCTCCCGTTGGTGTGCCTAAACGTACAGATCCTATGGAAATTGAGGCTTGGGAAGCGAATAATTCTACAATTTGTAGCTGGATTTTTAACAGTGTTGAAGAAATAATTCAACCCAGTATTGCTTCCCATATTGTGGTTCATGAATTGTGGGCAGATTTGAAGGCGCGTTATAGCACGATAAATGAGCCTCACATTTATCAACTCAAAAATGAGTTACAGAATCTTCATCAGAAAGGTCAAACCGCGGTAGTTTATTACAACCAATTTGTCACTATTTGGAATAAGTTGTATGGAATGGAGGATCCCACTTGCGGGTGCAAGTGTGAGGCGGCGGCTCTGTTGAAGGATCGGGCTAAAAAATCAAAAACTCGGAAGTTTCTGTTGCGTTTGGATGATGAGCAATTCGGTAGCATACATCGGCAAATACTTGGAACTCAACCGTTGGTGGATCTTAATAAGGCGTTCTATTTGATCACCCAAGGAGAACGACATAAAAGTGTGGTTCGTGCTCGTGATGATCACACGGATGCCATGGCGTTTGCTACAACACGGACGACTCCAAACATGTATCAGTGTACTCATTATGGAAAATCAGGACATACCGTTGACAGATGCTATATGATCATTGGATTTCCTAACTCTGGAAGAGGACGTGGCCGTCAGTCCTTCAGTCGAGGGGGAGGTTGCGGGAACCGTGGAGGTGGGTCTGCTGCCCAGCCGGTACCCACTCCACGGATAATGGTACTGAATTTGTGAATAAACCTTTGCGTCAATTTTACACCACCATGGGGGTCCTTATTCAAATGTCATGCGTTAACACCCCACAACAAAACGGGCGTGTGGAATGCAAACACATGCATATTCTTAATGTAGCCCGTTCCTTAATGTTTCAGGCTTCTTTGGCTATTGAATTTTGGAGGGAATGCGTGCGTACTGCTGTGTATCTTATCAATCGTACCCCACTCCTCTTCTCAATGGTGAATCACCGTTTGAACTCCTGTGAATCACCGTTTGAACTCCTTTCTTCAAAACCTCCAGACTTGTCTCATCTAAGGGTGTTTGGGTGTGTGTTATGTTCGTCTTAACCCTCGTCCGCAAAATAAATTTCACCCTCGTAGTCTTAAATGTATGTTTGTGGGTTATCCTACGGGGACTAAGGGTTGGTGTGTCTATGATCTTGAATCCCATCAATTTTTCTATACTCGAGATGTTTCCTTTGACGAAACGGTTTTTCCATTCACCTTGTCCACTAAACCAACCACGCCAACCAAAGTGTCTACACGGCCAGCCCATGCGGATTTCCCCACAGCCAAACCCACTGCCGTGATCCCAACCAATCCCCATCTGTCACCGGCGTCCATTCCTTCTTCCTGGCAGTCACCTCCCCATCGCGATAGCGACGGTGAGTCTGCCCCGGACAGTTCGCCGTCGCCCGTTCGTCCTACCCGTGATCGGCGACCTCCTGGTTGTCCGATTACTACTGCTACACCGCCTGGACATCCACTCCCATTGCTCCTCTCATTGTTTCATCTAAGTCTTCAGGTACTCGATATCCTATCCATAATTTTGTTCATTATGAGAAATTGCATGACAGGTACCAGGGATTTCTGGCTGCAGTGACTTCATGTGAAGTCCCAACGTCTTTCAAACAAGCCATGCAATATGCCAATTAGAGAGAGGCTATGCAACAGGAGATCACCACCTTGGAAAATAATCACACGTGGGAGGTCGCTGATCTCCCCCGATCGGATGGCTCTTGGGTGTCAGTGGGTTTACCGTACCAAGTTTCACTCAGATGGGACAAAGGAGCGTGATAAAGCTCGTCTAGTTGTTCTGGGAAATCATCAGGAGTTTGGTGCGGATTATACAGATACTTTTGCTCCTGTAGCAAAAATGGGTACGGTACGTATTTTATTATCTGTTGCTGTTGCACGGGGTTGGAAGATTCATCAGCTAGATGTTAATAATGCATTTTTAAATGGTGATCTCATTGGGGAGGTGTATATGCGAATGCCTCCTGGTTTTTTTATTCCTGGCAAAGTTTGTCGTCTTCAGAAATCTTTATATGGGCTCCGTCAGTCTCCCCGTAATTGGTTCCATAAACTCAGTACTGCGCTTCGTCAGTGGGGTTTTAAACAGGCTTATAAGGATCATACTCTGTTTATTCTTCATCATGGCCCTGATATCCTTACAGTCTTGGTTTATGTTGATGACATCTTGGTTGCAGGCAATAACTCCTCTTTATGCGCTTCTTTCAAACGCTATTTGGACAGGTGTTTTTAGCTCAAGGATTTAGGTCCGGTCAAATATTTTTTGGGAATTGAATGTGCCCGTTCTACTTCGGCTATGGTACTGTGCCAACGTAAATATGCTCTAGAGATCTTACGTACATGAGGCCGGGCTTTTGGGGTGTAAACCGGCGGAAACGCCGTTACCCACGACGCATGCACTCGGCCGGTCGACCACTGCTGCCTTGCACGACAGCGCGCGGTAACGCCGTCTCGTAGGGCGGTTGATCTATCTCACCATTACTCGACCGGATATTTGTTATTCTGTCCGTGTATTATCTCAGTTTATGCAGACCCCTACTCTAGATCACATGAATGTCACCATGCGTGTTCTTCGGTACATCTAGGGTCATCCGGGTCAGGGCATCTTTTTCAGTGCTAACATCAATTTACAAATCTCCGCTTATTGTGATTCTGATTGGGCTAGTTGCCCATTGTCCCGTCGGTTTGTTAGCGGGTATTTTATCATGTTAGGGACTTCTCCAGTATCATGGAAGACGAAGAAGCAAACCACCGTAGCTAGATCTTTTGCATAGGCTGAGTACAGGGCTATGGCAAATGCTTGTGTGGAAGTCCGCTGGATGCGAGGGATTCTTATTGCCTTAGGTGTTCCTATTTTGTATCCTCCCCAATTATATTGTGACAATCAGTCAGCTTTGTACATTGCAGCTAATCCAGTTTTTTCCATGAATGAATGGAGCATGTGGATGTTGATTGTCACACAGTTTGAGAGAGTGTCCAGCGGCGTGAGGTGTCGACGAGATATGTTCCGACACGATACCAGTTGGCAGATATCTTCACTAAACTGTTGGCCAAACCTATTTTTGATTTTTTGTTGTGCAAGTTGGGCATTCAGGATCTTCATTCGCCAACTTGAGGGGGAGTGTTAGCGGGTATTTGTATTTAGTTTGTATTGGGCCCACTTTGTAACCTAGCCCGTTATGTATTCTTGTATATATACGACTTCTATTGATTAATGAAAGCAGATCAGTTTTTACCAATTTCTACATTACTCTTCTATATATACTAGTGGTATTTCATTACTTTTTCCAGTGTGGGACCTCCAACATCTTTGGTGCTCTGCATGGGGTTCTTACATGCACCAAGGACATACTCTACTCTTTCTTAATTAGACACTTTATAACTCAATTTACCTCCTCTTCGAATACTATTCCAGGTAGACTATGGGTTATAGAGTGATACATTAAAGTAGCTAGCAAAAAAACCTAATAAAGAAATCTTTTTATAAAAAAAACTTTTTGCAAATAAATAAATAAATTAAATCAAAAGCAAATCACTACTATACGGAAATACCTGAAAAGCCAAAGGGTTCATGACACAATAATAAGAACAATAATAACGACATGCACTTTGGCATTGGCTTTCCCAACCCTACCCCTCCATTGCCTGTATAAATACCTACCCAATCTTCCCTTCCCATTTCCCATTCCAATTTTCTAGCAATAATTAACAATTAATAATTAATTTATCTATTATATATCTCTCTAAATACATATATAATTTATAGAGAGAGAGAAGAGAGAGATTTCTTAGTTACTCTTAAAGGAGCAACACCATGGCTCTCTCTGCACATAACTTGACTTTTGCTTTTGGAGTTTTTGGTATAGTTAAATTTCATTAATTTCTTTATTTTTTTCCTTTAATTTCTACTCCTTTTTGCCAAAATTAAATTAATGTTTTGCCTTTATAGTCATTTTATTGTTTATGTATGCAACTAATCATTATTCATATATAGTTAAAAGTGTTGTGCGGCCATGTAAATTAAAGTGTGAAGGTGTACACCAGCAATTAATAAGGTTAATTATATTATTAAAAACAAAAAATTTGTTGTTGAAACAAATTGAGATATTGTTTGCCACAACATTTTGCAAAAATTAAATATGTGAACTTATTATTATAGGAATATATATGCATGTGATCCAGCATGTATTAGAAGAGTCCTAAAAGAAAACATTTACTATTATTATTAATTACTAGCATTCTTTTTGGGCAAATTAAACATTTTTTTAATGAACTAATAAAGTTTCAATTGTCGTCGTTTAACCTTAGTCAAACTTCAACAGTTTCTCCTCCCAAAAGTTAAAACAGAAAATGTTTTACAGAATAGAGGCTATTTTATCAGAATATCTCTTTTTTTTTTATTTTCCTTCAAATTCATTATAACTATTTGAATTGCCCTTTTCTTAGCTGCAAAGTGTACTTTGCACTTGTCGAACTTTTTGCATGTTGTTTGAGTTTCTCAACAAAGACCTCATCATCTCGACATATATAGTAAACGTTCAAAAATATTGCAATTTATGCATGATCATATATCTTTCTTCCCGTTTGACTTTTTAAAATCATTAATACAATATTTCGATCTTTAATATATCTTTGTTTATATATTTAATTGACACATATCACTAAATATGATATTTATAAATCTATGGATAACTAAATTATTACTATGTCACAATTCAGTATTTTCTTCGTCTCACAATTGATTACCATGTTACTATTCTACCTTACTTTTTGAAAAACTTTTATTAATTTGCATATGTTTGACAATATAAGACATTTTTTAATAGTATGTAGTAAGTTATTTTTTATTTTTATGTTAATTTGTAAACAAAATAAATTTAAAATACTCAATGTTTTGCACATGGATATGGAAGTGTGTAATCAAATATGAGACGGAAAAATTACTAAAACAGGGTACAATTTTATCAAAATTTATGGTCAACGCTTAAATTGTTGATCAGTTAAGATATATAGATGAAGAAAAAACCCAAAAAAAACTTTTTTAAATGCTATTGACTCTAATAGTACACAACTTATTAGAAATTTAGAATGGATCTTTTTGTTGGGAAAGTATTCTATATTATTCTCTCCCGTAAATATGATACAAATACAATCTTCACTTTATATTATTCTCTAGTAGCTACTTAAATAAATAACATAGCTTGGAATATTCTGTTTTTAATTATATTAATTCCTGGAATTTTTTTAATTCCTTATTTGCAGGAAACATCATCTCGTTCATCGTCTTTCTTTCTCCAATGTACTGTGAGCCATCTTTTAGTGTTTCGTTTTTTAGATACATATTTTCAACCTTTTAATAGGTTGATTAACACCCACTCCTCCCCATACTTCCAATCATACCCCTTCTTTAACTGGTTATTACTATTATTATTTATTTATTTTGTTGGTATTATTATTATTCTTATTATTATACTACCTTCATCCCGTATCTGTTATGTTTTGACTTTTTTCAGTCAACAATTTTCTATTTTTGACATATAATTAAATAAAATAAATATTGTATTTTAATTAGATAAAATAATATTTTGAAAAATTTTATATAATAAATACCCGGATTTTTTGGTATTATAAATATAATAAAATTATTTTTTATTAATATCTAATATCATTTTTATTTAGTTTGAGGTCAACGTTTACCAGTTTTGATAAAAAAAAATAAAAGTGGATTAATACCCAAGGACACAGGAAGTATTACTATATTATTATTATTATTATTATTATTATTATTATTATTATTATTATTATTATTATTATTATTATTATTATTACTACTACTATTATTATTATTATTGTAATTATTATTATTATTAATTATAATTATAATAATAATAATAACAATAAATATAATAATTTGTAATTCATAGCACTAAAAAAGGTACTTAATAATTTAAGGAGTAGTAATAAAAAAGGACGACGGTTGTATTTAATTATGTACATATTTTAATATTATTTTTGTTACATGCATGCAGACCAACATTCTATCAGATGTACAAGAAGAGATCAACAGAAGGATATCAATCAATTCCATATGTGGTTGGACTGTTTAGTGCCATGCTTTGGATATACTATGCATTTCTCAAAACCCAAAACACCACTCTTCTCATCACCATCAACTCCTTTGGTTGTTTCATTATGACCATTTACATTGCCTTCTTCCTCTTCTATTCCTCCAAGAAAACCAGGGTACTTATAATATTTTAAAACTATGTTTCAAAATAAATTTATTGATATTATAAATTTATATGATGGCGCGGTCTGATTAATGGATGCGCGCAGAGGGACACGGCAAAGATTCTTGTTTTGTTTGTGGGGTGCGGGTCGGGGGCTATCGTGCTCGTAACTCAATTCCTGTTCAAAGGCCCGATCCGCGTCGAAGTCGTTGGATGGATTTGCCTCGTTTTTTCCTTGTGCGTCTTCGTCGCTCCACTCTGCATCGTGGTAAGTGGGCCCCGCCTCTTAAGGCAGGGCTGAAAGAAAATTTGATAATTTAAAGAGAAAAAAGTACACATATATATACAATACTCCCTCCGTTCCATAAAATAATTTCCCTTTCATTTTTTTCCAATTCCTTAAAACACTTCCACTTTCTATTAAAAAACCACTTTTTTCCCTACTTTTTCATACCATACCTATCACATCATACTTTTTCACTAATAACCAAACTATCACATCTTACTTTTACCCATCACATCAAGGGCAAAATTGAAAAATTACACTTTCCTTATTTTGGCTCATAGTCAAAATGAGAAGGGTTTAAAGTAACAGAGGGAGTAGTTCTTAAAATATTGCATATGATTAATTATATTATATCTATTTATGGTGTGGTTTAATTTTGTTTTTGTTTGCAGAGACAAGTGATTAAAACCAAGAGTGTGGAAAACATGCCTTTGCTCCTCTCAGTTTTCCTTACTTTCAGTGCTGTCACTTGGTTCTTCTATGGCTTCTTCCTAAAAGACATTAACATTGCCGTAAGTTCTTCATAACTTTATTATGTATATTTCTCAAAAAAAAAAAATCTACCAATTAAAACACAACTTATACCTAAATACGGAGTATAATTTGGGTAATTTACGTAAATAGGACTTAAACATATCATTTTTTTCTAAATAACTAGGACCAGTCCTATCTACTCTAACGTTTAGCAATGGAAAGTGCCAAAATGTCTTGCCTTTGAAAAAAATGACTAATTACCATTATTAGAAAAGATTTGGATAGTCATTGAAATAATCCGTCATTATCCAATACGTGTTGCTAATGACCACATTCATAGAGTCATTCGTATAATCAGTCATTATCCAATACTTCTTGCTAATGAGGGTATATATGGCAGATTATATACAATTATGTGCTATAAAGGAAATAAAACATACTTAGTTCTATTCAGAGAAATGTACTATCTTTTAGTCTTATACGGAGCAAATTTTTTACTCCGTATATAATTTTCTATGTTTTTATATCATAAATAAGAGTTGACACTGCAAACACCGCAATTTAGCATTGTGTAGTGTTAGCATGTCACAATATTTTTTTGGCATTATTTGTTGGCATGCATTGTAAATTGTATTTTGGTATAAAATAATGACATCTTATTATGGTCTATGAGGTTAGTCCAAAGTTAATATTTTTTGGTCAAAACCATCACAAATAAAGTCCTAATTAGACAAATGGTAGGTATATAATGGTGACATATATCACAGGTGCCAAATGTATTGGGGTTCTTCTTTGCAATTGTACAAATTGGGCTATACATGATGTACAAGGAGAAGAAGGGAGAGAGGGGGGTAAAAGAGCAAAGGCTGCCCGAAGTGGCACTGCCCAAGCCAGTTATAATCCTCGAAGATGACACGACGAGCAACAACGACAACAACAACAAGCGAAAGCTGCCCGAGCTGACCGAGGAGCAGATCATCGACATCGTCAAGCTGATCCAGAAGAGCGGAGGGGCGGGAGACCATAATAACGCGGCTGCCCCTGCTGCCCCGTCGCCGTTCGTCGCTGCCCCGAGGCTTCAAGCTGTTGAAGTGTGAGGTCATGGAAAGATATATATATATATATATATATATATATATATATATAACTAATCATTATTAAGATGTAGTGTATGCATATGTATACATAATAATATATAATAAATATTTATACATAAATGTGTTTGAGAATTTTGATTTGTTTGGATTTCCATATGATCCTCTCATCTAGCCTGCTACTACTCTGTAACACCTCTGTCTACCCTTTTACTCCAGCATTATATAATTGGATTTGGTGTATGTATGTTCAATGCATTCATTTTAATACTTAACTACCATATTATTTGTTTAATTTTGACTTTTTGCAGTCAATCATTTTTTATCTTTAACCTCAAATTAAATACAAATTATATGGTACATTACTTAGATAAAATAACATTTTGAAAATTGTATAAAATAATAACGGAAAAATATTTTTGTTTTGATTGTCTTGTTCAATACAAAGAACCAACTCTCTTTATGTAGGAAGAAAGCAAAGCAAATAAATTTCTACTCCTACCATAATTTTATTTCTTCTAAAACAAGTAGTATATCAAAATAGGAAAGTGAAATTTGCAGTGAATAGGACTAAAACATAAGTCATTTCTCAATGTAGGACTCAAACTTTTTTATTCTCTAAATAGTGAAGTACTTAATAATGACTAGATAGAAGAATAACGTCCAAGTGATGCTAGACATTTAGTTGAATAATGACTAATAGATAATGGCCAAAGGTCCAAGATTGAAAAATAAAAATATATGGTCCTATATTGAGAAAGTCATTATATTTTAGTCCTATTTAGGTAAATTGGCCTTCTTTTCGAACATCCTGGATAAGTGTAAAAATAGAGATAGTACCAAAATATGCTCTCTATATTTTTATTTCTAAAATACGAGTTTGCGATATGATAATGTAGGATAGTATATGAACATTTCACAATATTATATATATATGTGTGTGTGTGTATAGGGGCATGATTGATCACATTGTATATGCATTTTAATTCATATTTTTAGATTAAAAAGATGAAACTCTTTTTTTGGTATACTTTTTTATATTTTACTCTTACTTTAGTCTTTCTCTCAAGATTTTTATTAAAAATTACTTCTTCTGTCCTAAAACTATCTTCTCGTTCACTATCTATTGTATTGTTACCATAGTTGTTATTCTACTATGATTAGAACACTCTCATGTAATCTCTATAAATAGGGATATCCTTCAATATTTAATAAGACCAATTATTATCAAATTGTATCATGGTATTGTAGATAAGATTCTCTAAAACTTAGACTCTTCTTTAAGACTGAGCACATCCCCGGTCTCTGTTTACGGCGGTCGATTGTCCGACAGCATGGCGTCACCGACCAAAAAAATTATGTGTCTAATCGAAGAACGGAAAATTTACATTTGTCTATATTTTTCTAGAGATCGAGAGCATGGAAAGCGATAGAGAAGCAGAGAACGGTCCACAAGAAGAAAAAAATAAACTCCTTATCCTCGTTTCAATCGTCAACACTCTCGGCATGAAAAAACTTGGCAAACATAATCTCAAGCTCATTCGTCATGCAACGAAGATCCGACTCTCTACTTCTAGAGGTTATCCTCACAAAACTATTTCTGCCAACTTAATTCTAGTACATGTGCTCTAAGCTGCTCCTCATTAGGAATATTAGAAAATCGGAAATAAATATTATATTTAATCACGTTCCTTATTATATTATTTTCGTTATTGTATTATTACCATAGTTGTTCTCTTACTATGATTAGAAATCTATAATGTAATCTCTATAAGTAGGGATGTATCCTTCAATATTCAATAAAACAGATTATTATCAAATTGTATCGCCATTATTAGAAAAAGTAGTTTTTCATTTACACAGGGTAGCTGATCGAAATGACAACATTATTAACCTCATGTTAAATTTGTTACGTTGAGGAAATTAAAAGGGCAGTGTGGTTACTACCGATTAAAAAGAGTGTTAATAAAAGAAAAAACCAAAATGATGCAATTAAGAAATCATCAATGTTTAGGTGCTATTTTGAGGACCTGTTTGGGAATATCATTAGCGTTTTTGATAAAAATTTAACGGTGCAGATTACTTTGAAAACGCTAACGATAAACAATGCCCGTAGATAGCCCGACCTTTTCAAAACGCTAACGCTAATCGTTAACGCTATTCCCAAACAGGCTCTCTGTAAAATTCACAAACGCTATATATGTGCAGTGAGAGAATCATAGAAGATTCTAGTGAGAGAATCATAGAACAAAAGTGATTCTTCTTTGTGATTTATTTTTGTTTTCTTCCGGGACATTATTCTTTAATATTCTCCATACATTAATCACAGCCTTAATTGACTTTTAGTCTCCCTATCCCCGTAAATTAAGCAATGACACATGACAAAGATGCAATATAATCCCACAAACTAAGCAAAGACCAAGATATACGGAGTATGATATATCAACAGGGAAATAGATTGCGCCAACCATAAGTTCGCCTGCCAATGAGATTTAGGTGACCTCACTCAACACCAATTTGGGTAAAGCTATTTCTACCCCATTTTGTACACTTCAGGAATGAATCAATATTTTGTATTGGTGTAATGCTAATTTTTTATAAACGCGCAAACACTTTATGTTAGTGTAAATTTTTGTTAACGTACCAACACTTTGTGTCAGTGTGAACCAAATATTGGTGCATAGCTTTGTGTGCAAATGAGGTACAAATTTTGGGGTACATGTAGCATGCTCCATTTGGCAATGGATAAAGCTATTTCTACCCCAAATTTTTGTACCCCATTTTGTACACCGCAGGTTTGCACCGACATTTTGTGTTGGTGTAAAACTAATTTTTGTTAACGCATCAATACTTGTGTCCATGTAAATTTTTGTTAACGCACCAACACTTGTGTCGGTGTAAACCATCAAAATGTTTGTGTATAACTGCGGTGTACAAATGGGATACAATTTTTGGTGTAAGTGTAGCATGGCCCTTTGGAAATTTAGACGAATTCTATTCAAAAGAAGATGCTATCTTTGTGCAGCATATTTGTTCAATTCGATTTTTTCGAATCAATTAAGATAAAAATTTGAATTTCTATTAAACAAAAAGTGTAATGATCCGGTTCCAGTGGCACCGCTAGTGGCACCGTTCTCCGTTGTCACTAGAACCGGGCCGAAATTGTAATGTATATTAGCATAAAAATAATTTTACTAAATTTATCTTCTTGAAAATTTTCAATTTTTTTAAAACAAACAAAATGCATTAAATTTGAAGAGGAACAAAGTCACGAGGGGAAGAATCCTAATATAGAATAGAAGTCTGTCAGTAGGAAGCAGGAAGCAGAAGTAGCAGGAAGAGAGTAAGCACTAAAATTAGAAGATTGAGGAATAGAATTAAAGGAAAAATAACTAAATCTTTGCATAAGTTTCCTGCAGTCCGAACTAGTGATGCCAGTATAAGAACGATCGTCCATTGAGGAGGTTCACCATATTGTGACATAAGATTGCACAATCAGAAAGTACCCGACAGAAGATACCCCACGAAGCTTTAACCAAATGAGCACCTCTTTCAATTCGCAGCCAATGATGTCTCTGCCAATAACGGACACAAGCAGCGAGAGAGGGGTCCATTCACAACCCCTAAGAAAGCTCTGTTAAAAGAGTAGAGGACAGCAACAAATGTACCTAAACTAGAAGCATGTGAGAATCTTGCATCAACATAGAAGATAGGGTAACAACTGAGTGATGTCTCTCCAAACTGTTATCGTTCATCGAGGAAAAGAGAATGAATTAGGGCTGACTTCCATGCTGCCAATCTTACCCGTGTCGTGGTGCAAGTGACACGAGGGGTTGGCAATTTGTTCTCCTAGACAACTAAATTTCATTCCTCCCAAATATTGTGCATAACCCCAACAGCCAGCTCTAATTCCTCATGGCTCAATACACTTCAAGTCGTTTGTAACCGCTCTGGGAAGTCTAGCCTTGACGCATTAAGCAACGGCAATCTAGATTCACTCCACACACGCACAACATAGACACAAGTGACAAGGAAATGCATTACAGTCTCCACGAGTAGTCCGCAAACAGAACACAAGGGATCCACGTCAACTTTCCTAGAACGAATATTAGTGGTGGTGGGAAGAATATCCCTAGCGGCTCTCCAGATAAAGGTCCTCCATTTAGGGGGAACCTTCAAGCTCTAAATCCTAGACCAAGCAGTGAAGCACGACAAGTGGCCACTTTCTTCTCCCATTAGAATATTGTACCCACTTTTAACGGAATAGCACCCCTTCAAGTCTCCATGCCAAACCCAAGCATCTTCATAGTTCGGGCTCATGGAGATCCGCATGATGCTATATATTAACTTCATCTGCCAAAAACAATTCGCATAGTAGGTGAAGGTCCCAATCACCCGAGGCTGGGTCTATCAAGCAATTCACTGTAGTACCACTAAGATGGTCCGGCATAAAAGAACAAATAATCGGATGACCATAACAATGCAACCAAGGATGACGTCAAACAAGTATGCTTGTGAGAGGCCATAATACTTTTGGAAAGTCAACATAAAAATATCCATCCCTTAAATTTCCTAAAAGTCAAAATAGGAACATTTTTTTGAGACAAAAGAAGTATATTTTTGTCTGAAACAATTTTACAATTTATCTGATTAAAATAAAAATGCATTCCTTTTTTTAGGTATTATATTTAGATTTTTTTAGTTGTCAACTCATATTAATTAATTGCTCAATCGACATTCAAAATGTCATATACTAGTATATAGCTAAGGTGGTAGCATCGAGTAGCTGTGTAAAATATACTCTCTTCGTCCACTTACGATTAATTTTACACGATATTTTTTTTTACGAAATCCGACTAATACTCTTCGACAGGGTTTGCATATTTAAGATTGAAAGTCTCACAACATATGGTGGGATCTGATTTTACACGAAACTTAATGTAAGATTAAATGTAGATGATTTACCAAATTTGTCCTTCTCAATGAGTATAAAGGAAGGATTTGATTATTTAAAATTAGCAAAAAAGGAAATAGAAAGAAAGATAATGGATATGAGAAGAACGTGTACATAACCCATTGTTGGATATCGAAATATTAATATAAATTGGTTCTTTTCTTGAAATGTTCATGTGAAATTCTCCAACTCAACAAGGAAAAGTGAATAGTCTCTTAAGATTGAAGGCAAACATTAATTCTTTTTTTTTCGATTGGACAAAATGTAACTTTTCTTACTCCCTCCGTCCCAAAAACAACCTCATTATTTGCCTTTTTGTCAAATTGTGCAACACTTTAACCACAAATTAAATATATTTTCTTTTTTATAATTAAATATTATAAAATTTTGATTTATCAAAACTATATTTTAAAATGAATCTAATTTTACTAACCTACATTATAACTAAATATACTTTTTTTACACAATTTGCGGATGCTCAGCTCACCAAATTCAAGCATGATTTTGAAAATAAAGAGCTTGTACCCAGAGACAAGATTTAGCTGACTCAACATGATATTTCTACATACAAAGCACTATCCGCGTGGAAAATGTGAATTTGCATACGTTCAGTACATCATTTCAATTTAGGGTCCGTTTGATACACAGAATTGATAGAATTAGAATTGAATTGGAATTAAAATTCCATGGAATTCAATTCCATAGAATTGAATTCACCAATTCTTATTCATTTTTTGTACTACCAATTCCAAATCTACATAATTTTTGTGCTACCAAACATGAGAATTGGAATTAAAGTCCTTAATTCCAATTCCATAGTTTGAATTCCGTGTACCAAACGGATCCTTAGTGTAATTTCCTAAAAACCCTCCTTTATGACGCAGGGGTTTCCACTTCCCACGTACATATAGGCCTTGTTTGGATGTTGACTGTCATTTAGGGTTTCTTACCTTTTGAAATCATTTTATTTACAAATTGGTATATCAATAAGCTATAAAAATCACATATTAAAAAATTACATCAAAAGTTCTACAAAACAAGAGGTGACAAGAATATTTTATTTTATCAAATACTTGGTGAAATCGCGTAAACAAACAAAAGTTATCGAGAGGAGAGAGAAAAAAAGATTGTAATCTATTTAGGGACGGAGGGAGTACATAAATATGGAAGGGTTTCAGTGGCCACGGAAGTCACTGTCGCAATTCTGACACCTACGATGTTCCGTTCATAAAATTGATGATTCCTACCCCTGGCCTCCTAACTTCCCCAGTAAACCCCGTGCCCAATCCCGACCCCAACTCATCCCCGACGTACGTCAATTGCACCCTTCAATTTTAGTTGACTTTGAGGTCAAAACTTTAGACTTTAAAGTCAACTATACTTGGAGGGTGCAATTGATGTAGGTGGGGGATGAGTTGGGGTCGGAACTGTACCGGGGGTTAGGAGGGATAGAAATTATCAATTTTACAATTGGAGTATCGTAGGGGGATAGTGGCTTCCGAGGCCACTGAACCCAACCTATATAAATATACTACCCGCGTTCCTGATTATTTGTCCAATTTTGAGTTTTTGCAATCAAAATTAACAAACTTTGACTACTCATTAAATAAAATTGAGATTATATTTGTTTTTTATACTCCGTAGTATTTTCAAAATACTGTCTTATCTAATCAATTAATATATTTTAAAAATTTTTATTTAATTATAGATCAAAGATCGAATGTAGTTGAATGCAAAAGCATTGAAACTAGATAAATAATCATGGACAAAGGTAGTATATTCATTATCTTCTATATTTGGAAACTATTCCACAAATATAGAGGACCACGGATACGTCCTCAAAGGACTTATTATGAAATACTTTCCAGATATAGAGGACCAAGAATAGAATACTTTCTCAAAGTGGGCTATACGTGAAAACTCTCATGTTATAGAGGGTGTTTTTAGGAAATTACCCTTCTTCAGTCTATCAATCGAACAGAAGCGATTGCGGGTATTGCATCCCTTAACTTTTGTGTTAGAGCGACGCGCACCGTCATCACGGTGGATGCGGGCCCACGAAGGCGGACCGTGACAACGTACTCTTCGATCTGCACGAGTTCCAACTCTCCGCCGCCTGCACCAACCAAATACGGTCTGATCTCTGCAAGGAGCTGAAGAATAAGGCATTGCAATTATAGAGTGCTGGCAATGCTGCAAATAAAAAGTATGTTAAGTTATGATAAAACGGGCCGGTTCTATGGCCACTGCTTTCCAGTGGCCACGGAAGCCACTGTTCCGATTCAGACACCTACGGTGCTCTGTTCGTAAAATTGATGGTTCCTGCCCCTCCTAACTCCCCCAATAAAGCCCCTGCCCAGTCCCAACCCCAAAAACCCTTGGAATATACACTATGCATAGCTCTCATCCCAGCCAAGAGAAAGCTTGAAGAACACTTTTGAATCATGTTTGGTTCAAAGAGTTCAGAAGGGAAAAGAAAAGAGAATAGTAAGGAAAATCAATTTTAGTGTAGTTAGAAAGGAAAAGAAAATGCCAGAAAAATAGTGTTAACTTGAAAATGTGATTTTCTTTTCATTTTGTGAGAAAAGGGAAACAAAAACAACAAACTCCACCCTCCCTACCCCCCCCCCCCCACTCCCCCAACCAAACATAGTGTTAGTTTTTTTTTTTGTCCAAGCAGCAGGCAAGTTTGCCCAGTTATTTTATAGAGACTTTCTAACTGCAAAACATTTTTAGTTTTTCTTATAACTTCCTCTGTCCAAACTGAGTTAGTTGTCCACTTATCCTAATTCCTCAGATTTAAGAAAATGGGGTAATTGGCAATGTTGNCCCCCCCCCCCCCCACTCCCCCAACCAAACATAGTGTTAGTTTTTTTTTTTGTCCAAGCAGCAGGCAAGTTTGCCCAGTTATTTTATAGAGACTTTCTAACTGCAAAACATTTTTAGTTTTTCTTATAACTTCCTCTGTCCAAACTGATTAGTTGTCCACTTATCCTAATTCCTCAGATTTAAGAAAATGGGGTAATTGGCAATGTTGACCACTGCTGGCAACAAGCTAAATATGCTTTTTAGAAGCATTTCATATAATTACCCATCAGTAAATCAATTATTACCTTCTCAATATTTTCCTCATTCAGCTCGAGGCCAATCTCGGCGTCCTGAATCTGCTCAACAGCTTCAATTTCTGGGATTTTATCGCGAAGGCGGGTTTCGATCCCCATCTTCAATGTCAATGCAGAACTCGGGCAGGAGCCACAAGCTCCGTGTAGCTTTAGCACAACAACAAGGCCATCAATCTCATGCAGAGCCACATTCCCTCCGTCAGCCATTAAGCCAGGTCTCACTTCATCCAGAACCATTTCAATGTTTTCCTCAGTGAGAGGAAGCACAGAAATAGGTGAAACCACCACACCTTCAAGATAGAGAAGCAGACGTAAATCAGAACAGCAATTTATTACTTCCTCTGTCCCATAAAACTTTTCAGAGACGAAAAGAGCCACGCCCTAAAAATGGGTAATTTTGATATCATTTTCTAATTATGACTAGTCTATCCTACGCATCATATCCTACCTTATAATATGGTAGCTATTACGATATTCAATTATAATACTATAATTTTGTTATGTGTATTACTAAAATATTATAGTTTATATAATTTATTTTGGTAGGGACAATGCCCATTTCTTTCATATCGTCCACGGTTCGCAAGTTGGTTTTCCTTTGTCATATCGTCCACGGTTCGCAATACTAAATGTCATTGATCACTAGTGTTAGAGCTTGGTACTAAGGTTTGATAACACTGATGATGAATTTATTTATTAGAATCATATCTAAGGAAAAAAAAAGAAAAAAAAATATCTAAGCAGAAAAGCAATAGATATGGAAGTTTGAACAGTCTGCAAGAATAAGTAACATACTAGAAAGGCTGTACATTTTAAACTGAAAGGGTTGGTGTAAACCATATTAAACTAGCAACAATAACGTGGAAAGTAATAAACATATAGAGATACAAGACAAACATTGAGCTGAGCTCATGACGGAGGACAGAACAACGTAGTGGTTCATGGAAAGCAAGGCTAAACTAAAATGATGTTTCCAAAACCAATCCGACCCAAACAACCTACTTGGAAATAGAATCCTTTACTTTACCTCTAAACCAAAGAATAGAGAAACTGTTCCTGTGAAGGCCCCTGACAAGTAGTGAAAGATAGTACGAACATTGTAACAGTACGAAGCACGAAAAAAGAAAGAAAATCAGGGGAAAGATCATAAAAGTAGGGAAAGGCAAGGAGGGAAAGCAAAGTAGCAAGGAGACAAGCACACAAAGTACCAGACAACATACACTCCAAACCACACTGGCTCACAAGCCCTACAAGGATTCTCCTACCCTAATACGATGTCTGTAGGAAACATTCTCAGATGTCATGTCCAAAGAGAGGTTTGAAGTCGCCAAATACAAGCTCAACTGCACATCCTAAGTTCAATGTGGTCTGCCTCTTCCTCTAGTTCCTTCAACCAAAATGCTCTCCACCATTTTCACTTGTCCATTTGTGTCTCTGTAGTGGATGTGGCACAACCACCACAACCACCACAATCTGTGTTATCTCTTACTTTTTCAGTAATACGTGCCACTCCTAACTTTGTACGGAAAACAGCATTTTCTATTTTGCCTAACATGGTACGACCACTAATTCACCACAACATCCTCATATCCACCACTTCCAACTTGCGCTCATGTGCATTTTTACCACCCAACGCTAAAATGAATACATCATAGCCGGGCGAATGGCTTCCTATAGAATATTCCTTCAGTGTGGCATTGTTGTCAATCTAGCTCTCTTTGTGTTCACCGTTTCATCAACTCAGCTACCAATGCAATTTTGTCCATAAATAGGCAAAATAGCATACATAACGGTATGCTCTCCTGGAATCCAGTAGAAATCACATCCAAGATCAAAATAGAGAGATATAGGCTCATGGTTGATCCTAATGCAGCCCGAATTCCAGAGTGAAAAAATGTGTCCTCTACGGGGTCAGAGATACATATCTCCCCTCATGCACATCCATGACACCCCCATATCCTCCAAACTCTTACCTCACGTAGTACACTATCTATCATAAGCCTTCTCTAGGTCTGTAAACACTATGTGCTAGTTTTTACTACACTAAATTTCTCCCTAAGGCTCATGAGAATGTGGATTGCCTCAATTGTTTACCTTTCTAGCATGAAACCAGATTTTTTCTATTAAATTCAGTCTCAAGTTGCACCCTAGATTGGTTTCATGGCGTGGCGAAGTTGCTTCATGCCGCAATAGTTACTATTACTTTGTGTGCCGCCTTTGGCTTTACAGAGTGGCATCACCACACTGAGCTTCCACCCTTCACGCACCTTGGCAGTTTTGGGATGGTGTTAAAGAGGCTTGTCACCCATTGCACCCATTGCTCTCCCTCTTCCGCCAACCACCGCTATGCCTCAAAGGGATCTAATTTCGGCACAGTGCCTTAATCATTTGTATTTTTAAGTGCACCCATTAGACTCACTAATACATTTACAAGGTTGTCGTTGTGCAATTTTCAATCTCTTACTCCCTACATTAAAAAACTCCCCCACCTCTCCATAATGGCACCATCCTTCACCTGAAGTCTAGAACCGCTCACCCTTAATGTACCATACGATCAATGGCAGATCCAGAAATAAATTTCACTGGTGGCACATATGTTATTTGTTGCAAGCGAATCTTAATTAATTGTTTTTCCTTGACTGGAAAAGTCCTCTTTTGGGTACTTGAGGACGTTTGTACACTCAAATCCTTCGTAAATTTTTTGAAAAGTTAGTGTTAACAAATTAAAATTACATTTGTCTTCCAATAGTCAAATCTTTTATAAATATTGGAAGAGCATGTTGGTGTCATTACAGTTCACACCCCTCTTGTAAGGATTCCACTGGGGGCAAGTGCCCCCCCCCCAATATACAAGTAAATCGGTCAATGCTTACAGTACCTAAATCTCGACACCCCTCTCTTGCTTTCACAAGTTTGTAAATATCAATATTCTCTTCTTGGTCTATAAATGTCTGAACATTTCCCCATACGCCTTTTCTTTTACGACCACCACTATTTTTTCCTCTCATTGAGCATCCTTAATCAATATATGTTTCTTTCACCCTTACTCATCTCCTCCCCCCCTAACATTCAAAGAGCTCTTTAAAACACTTTTGGTTGACATTGACCTTAGCTTGTCATCTTCATTTCACCACTAGGAATCCCTTTGGTCCCTCTCCCTTGGTCCTCTTAGATGCCATCCCTAGCATAACCTTGGTAGAATCTCTAATGGTGTAGACCATGATTTCAAGCCACATATAATGCATTAATCAAGTCACTTTCAATGTCAATCGAGCTAAAGGAGTCACTATTTAGAAGGTTTTGGATTCAAGTAAATAATGGACGAAATCAAAATATCACATTAAACTTACATTGCTCTTACTTCTATGAAGTTTTGGATAGTATATGCATCAAGAGTCTAACATAAACAACATCTCTGTTTTTAAAGGGGTAAGAACGTGTACAGCTAGACCCCTGCCCCATAGACCCCAACAGAGTTGACATTATATCGAGTTGTTGTAATTGATTAACTGTATACGGAGGATGATATCCTTAAATGGGGTAATGGTGAACTTGCTATTTGCAAGGCTTATGAAGTGATTAGAGATGCGGATTCTATTTGCCTCTCTTCCAAACTGATCTGGGAAAGCCTGCAAATCCCCAAGATTACACTTTTCTTATGGAAACTTTTTAATAAAGCCCTCCCCTTCCCTAACAACTTAACAACATTGGGCTTTAATCTCCCTTCCCAATGCAGGCTATGTCATAAACATATGGACTCTGAGTCTCACACTCTCTTTAACTGTGAGTTTGCTAGGCAAATATGGTCTTATTTTGCAGCTATAGTTGGTGAACCAGCACCAAGGAGAGAGCTTTCTGTAACCCAACACTGCCTGGAGTGCCTTCTCTCCTCAACTGGGAGAACCATGGAAGAGAAACTCAGAATCTTGCTTCCTGGTCTGCAGGACTATCTGGAAGCAATATAATGCTTGCTTGTATGATGGAGCTGCTCCCAAGGTTACAAGTGCTATTGGTCAGGTGACTAGACTGCTGCAGCATTGGAGTCTGATCCATAATAAGGCAAATTGGTTCCATTTCAGTTGTGGCCATACCGCCATAGAAGCTTGGCCATTTCCCCGTCTCCCCAAACCTTGTAGTAGTTTGTTGCTTTTGATTTCTTGTAATCTCCTTTCACCTGGTTGTACATTCTACACTCTATAATAAATTATCTTATTTCAAAAAAAAGTAGGGGGTGTACCCAGGTTCATTGCCAATGGAAGTAGATGAGTCATGTTAGGAAAAGTTTTAGCTTTGGGTAAATA